ACTTTTTGGTGTTCTTGTCTATGCTGTGCAGAATAGTTACAAATGTGGCCATGGAGTTTGACACAATTGATGTTTAGATGTCTAACTTTCTCATATGTGGACATAGTCATGTTGTTAAACCTCTAGAAGACATTAATTGCAGGTGGAAAAAGGGAACCTGGGATAAGGCCAAGATTTAAACTGGGTCATTTTGTCTTGTATATTATTTAGAAAATGTTTGATGAAAGGAGTTGTGCTGAAATTTTGAGCAAAAGCATCTGTATTCTTACTGCTGAAACTTCATCACTTAGGGCTAGTCTACGTTATTGCACTACGTTGGTGCAGCTGTGCCGCTATAGCGTATCTGGTGAAGACGTGCTATGCTGACAGGAGCGCAATATAGACACCACTTTAAGTTGATGTAACTTACGTTGCTCGGTGGGTGGTGGCTTTTTCACACCCCTGAGCAACATAAATTGTATGGACTTACGCGGTAGTGTAGGCAAGCCCTGAGAGTCATATTAATAGATTCTGCCACCAGAAGGGCATTGTGATCATCTAATCTGACTTCCTGTATAATCCAGGCCATAGAATTTCCCTCAAATAATTCCCCTCAAATAATTCCTTTTGAAATAGAGCATAGCTTATTAGGAAAACATCCAGTCTGGAGTTAAAAATTTCCAGTGATGGAGAATCCACAACAACCCATGATAAACTGTTCCAATGGTTAATTAGCCTCACTCGTAAATTTATGATTTATTTCCAATTTAAATTTGTCTAGCTTCAACTTCTAGCCATAGGCTTTTGTTATACCTTTGTCTGTTAGAATGAAGAGCCCATTGTCAATTTTTTTTTGTTCCCCAGGTAGGTACTTGTAGACTGTGATCAACACTTCTTAACCGTCTTTGTTAAGCTAAATAGATAGACTCAAAGAGCTCAATCTCTGTAAGGCAGGTTTTCTAATCCTGTAATCATTCTGATTGCTCTTCTCTGAAAGCTCTTCAATTTATCAACATCCTTCTTGAATTCTGGACACAGTATTCCGGCAGCAGTTGCCCCAGTGCCAAATATAGAAGTAACATAACCTCTCTAATCCAACTGGAGATTCCAATTTATGCATTTTGGACACAGCATGACACTGGGAATTCATCTTTGTGACCCTAAAATCTTGTACTCTGACTTCAATTGTCTCCTTTATATTCATATTTGTTTACAGGGTCTTTGAAAACAACCTCACAGAAGGGGAAAGCATCACAGACTTTATGAAACTACAGTAAAGAACAAAATTGTCAGACACACAAATGAACATAATTTGTTGAGGAAGAGTCAACATGGTTTTGGTAAAGGGAAAACATGCCTCACCAATATACTACAATTCTTTGAGGGGGTCAACAAGCATGTAGACAAAGGGGATCCAGGGGATATAATGTACTTAGATTTTCAGAAAGCCTTTGACAAGGTCCCTCACCAAAGGCTCTTAAGCAAAGTAAGCAGTAATGGGATAAGAGGGAATCCATGGACTGGCAACTGGTAAAAAGATAGGAAACAAAGGGTAGGAATAAATGGTCAGTTTTCAGAATGGAGTGAGGTAAATAGTGGTGTCCCCCAGGGGTCTGTACTGGGACCAGTCCTATTCAACATATTCATAAATGATTTGGAAAAAGGGGTAAATAGTGAGGTGACAAAATTTGGCAAAACTACTCTAGATAGTTAAGTCCCAGGCAGACTGCGAAGAGCTACAAAAGGATCTCAAAACTGGGTGACTGGGCAGCAAAATGGCAGATGAAATTCAGTGTTGATAAATGCAAAGTAATGCACACTGGAAAACATAATCCCAACTATATGTATAAAACGATGGGGTCTAAATTAGCTGTTACCACTCAAGAAAGAGATGTTGGAATCATTGTGGATAGTTCTCTGAAAACAGCCACTCAATGTGCAGCGGCAGTCAAAAATATGAACAGAATGTTGGGAATCATTAAGAAAGGAATACATAATAAGATATAATATTTTCTATTGCCTTTATAGAAATCCATGGTACGCCCACATCTTGAATACTGCATGCACGTGTGGTCGCCCCATCTCAAAAAAGATATATTGGAATTGGAAAAGGTTCAGAAAAGGGCACCAAAAATGATTAGAGGTATGAACGGCTGCCATATTAGGAGAGATTAATAAGACTGGGACTTTTCAGCTTCGAAAAAAGATGACTAATGGGGGAGATGATAGCGGTCTATAAAATCATGACTGGTGTAGAGAAAGTAAATAAGGAAGTGTTATTTACTCATAACACAAGAACTAGGGGTCACCAAATGAAATTAATAGGCAGCAGGTTTAGAACAAACACATTTTTCACACAATGCACAATACACAGTGAACCTGTGGAACTCTTTGCCGGAGGATGTTGTGAAGGCCAAGACTATAACAGGGTTCAAAAAAGAACTAGATAAATTCATGGAGGATAGGTCCATCAATGGCTATTAGCCAGGATGGGCAGGGATGGTGTCCCTAGCCTCTGTTTTCCAGAAACTGGGAATGGGCAATAGGGGATGGATCACTTGATGATTATCTGTTCTGTTCATTCCCTCTGGAGCACCTGGCATTGGCCACTGTTCGAAGACAGGATACTGGGCTAGGTGGACCTTTGGTCTGACCCAGTATGGCTGTTTTTATGTTTATTTAGAATATAAATAAAGTGTCCCCTTTTAATATCAGATTTGATCATTGATTTTCTTTCACGACTGAAAGGAAAGATGGTTGTACTCCTGAGCAGACATTACTTTGTTGGAGAAGGAATAAAATTTAGTATACCATATAACCCGTGTTCCAACTGAAGGATGTGTGAGGTTTTTTGTTTTTTTTAAAATAAAATGTCATATTGCCACTTTTACTGCCCTTTGCTGAAAAAACAGAGGAATCGGTTGGACAAAAACATTGCTTTTGGGTAGGGGAATAACATTGTTTCTCTCTCAAGCACTGTGTTTCAAGCACTGTGTATCATAGAATCATAGAATATCAAGGTTGGAAGGGACCTCAGGAGGTCATCTAGTCTAACCCCTGCTCAAAACAGGACCAATCCCCAACTAAATCACCCCAGCCAGGGCTTTGTCAAGCCTGACCTTAAAAATATCTAAGGAAGGAGATTCCACCACCTCCCTAGGTAACGCATTCCACTGCTTCACCACGCTCCTAGTGAAAAAGTTTTTCCTAATATCCAACCTAAACCTCCCCCACTGCAACTTGAGACCACTACTCCTCGTTCTGTCATCAGCTACCACTGAGAACAGTCTAGATCCATCCTCTTTGGAACCCCCTTTCAGCTAGTTGAAAGCAGCTATCAAATCCCCCCTCATTCTTCTCTTTCGCAGACTAAACAATCCCAGTTCCCTCAGCCTCTCCTCATAACTCATGTGTTCCAGTCCCCTAATCATTTTTGTTGCTCTCTGCTGGACATTTTCCAATTTTTCCACATCCTTTTTGTAGTGTGGGGCCCAAAACTGGACACAGTACTCCAGATGAGGCCTCACCAATGTCGAATAGAGGGGAATGATCACGTCCCCTGATCTGCTGTCAATTCTCCTACTTATACATCCCAAAATGCCACTGGCATTCTTGGCAACAAGGGCACACTGTTGACTCATATCCAGCTTCTCGTCCACTGTAACCCCTAGGTCCTTTTCTGCAGAACTGCTGCCTAGCCATTCGGTCCCTAGTCTGTAGCGGTGCATGGGATTCTTCAGTATCAATCTACTGTACAACAGTATTCAGTTATATTGCCTGCTTGATACTTGTTTGTATTGATTTCCTAATCCCACTGGTATATTATGCAAAGATCACTATACAGGGTCAGATCTTTGGCTAGTATAAATTGGGGTAGCTCCATTAGCTTCAATGGTGCCGTGCTGGTTTATATCAGCTGTGCAGTAGACCCTCAGTATCTCTAAAATACTACAGTGCATTTTTAGATTACACCTTTCCAATCACCCAGCTCTTAGAGAGCAGTGTGCTGTTACACAGCTGTAAGGAATTTTTCTCTTAGAGCTATTAATATAAGATAATTACCTGTTAAGACTGGTAAAGGAGTGTGTGGGCATAATATAATAGGTCATTTCCAGTTAACATCTTGCTTTTAGTACTGATTTGACAATGAAATGCTACATCAGCTCATAAATGTTTAAACAGGAAACAAAAGTGCTCTTCTGGAGCATGCGTGCATATTCCCATTGAAGGCAGTTTTTTCTGAAGGCAGAATTTAAAATATTATAGTCTGTCGAATTATTAAAGGTTAGATTTTTTTTTTCTGGCCATCACCCAGGTGCACAGTGGGTAGGGGACAGTATCGGGAGCTCCCCTTGAGCACCAAACCAAGCAGAATTGCAACTCTGGGGCTCAGTGGCAGGAAGGTATTACTCTGTTCTTACTCCCCTTGGAAGACACAAGGGTGGCCAGAAAGCTGGTCCATGGGTCTCTTGTGCAATGGCCAGCAAGCTGACTGGCTGGCAACATGGAAGAAGTAAGCTGTACTTCATCAATGTCTGTGTGTGCCTGGGAGCCTGTTGGTGCTCTTGCTGCCCTTTGAAATGGGCTATGCCTACATGGTGCAATCTAGCTGTTAATCAGGCTGGAAAATAGCTTCCCATTAATGTACCTCTTATTTCCCCCATCCTAAAAGGGATAATCTCACAAAGTGATGTGACTTCATTGCAATATCAGGAAGCAAAGAGACTTGCTAATCGTAGCTGGTATAAGTATCCCTATTTGTCCATTTCTTCGTCAGACTTTTTTGTGCCCTCTTCATGATAGTCCATATCTCAGGAACCAACTGGAACCTTTCCCATCCCTGACTGATAGCATGGGGGAAAGAAGTCTTAAAAGCGTGAAAAAAGAAAAGTAGCCATTGAAAGGTTCAGCACTGAAAGCAATGAATTCTGATTTTGCAGCCAGAAACTGTAGCAACTTGGTCCCACGATATATCTGACTGTCTGGAACATTTGGATAAATTTTTTTATCTGTCTTTTCAGGTGCACTACAATGTTGGCAAAAACTTGGCTGATAAAGGCAACCAAACAGCTGCAATCAAATACTACAGGGAAGCTGTAAGGTATTTTCAATTTATTATTTCACTAAGCTATCCTAACAGTTATTTAATTTCTCAGGCATAGTAAGACTGAGAAAATGTTGACTTTGGGATTTCAGCTGCAAAATGTTGCAGTGTCACATAACTAATCATCCAGCTGAAAGGAAAGGGAATGACTACAGTACCTTGTTTCCCTACGAGTAACACATTTCTCTTATATTCTAGGTTGAACCCCAAATATGTACACGCCATGAACAACCTTGGAAATATCTTGAAAGAAAGAAATGAGCTCCAGGAAGCAGAGGGGCTGCTCTCCTTAGCTGTACAAATACAGTATGTTAAAAGAATGGCAAGCATTGTTGCATCAACTCACAACAAACAGTACAATGGGATCTTATATTCCATATGCTAAAATGTATTTTAAAATTATTGCCTAGGCCTGATTTTGCTGCTGCATGGATGAATCTAGGAATAGTACAGAATAGTTTAAGAAGGTTTGAAGAGGCAGAGCAAAGCTACTGGACTGCACTTAAACACAGGAAAAAATACCCAGATTGTTACTACAATTTAGGACGGTTGGTAAGTGTTTATTTTTTTTGTTTAATGAAATTGTGGCATATGATTAAAAAGTTATTTAAATTGTGATAAAGCAGAATTTACACTGAAAATCCAGCTATTGCTCAACACTGACAATAACTCAGATTTGCTTGAGTGTAGATTGTGGGTGATCTCATGTTTTATAACACCATCTCTTGTCAATCCCCACGCTACCTCTCCCTCATCTACAAAAGAGGCATGCTTCCTGAGTTTGTCATTACTTTTTCATATAAAAACATACAAATACAAATATATTGGGGAAAAATCTAGCTTCTATGCTTCACAAAGCTGCCTTTTTCTCCAGGAGATAATTACTAGTCACTTTTCAAAATCTTGGCTTCAATTCTAAAAAAAATTAGTATATTTCAACAACCTGTTGTGTAACAGAGCTATACCAAAAAGAAAAAAAGTTCAATGCAGATTGGTCTCAATATTTTATTTAGATTTAAAAAAAAATGTGTATGCCCATCCTTTTCCTCTAGGCACACGTATATCTAAAAACCATAAACAAGTCATACCAGAAAAGCAAAAGGAAAATATGAATTTTTCATAAAAAGGGATTATCTCTAAAGATTTAAAAATACCACCGCTCTTCAATGTACCCTTGTCTGCTGAATGGGATAGCATTCTGATACTACATACATGTTTCAGAAAAGACCCTGGGGAACAATGAACAAGACACATGAGTATCTCTGTACCATCTTTAGCATGAATTTTATGACAAAAGTAAAGCAGGATGTAATTACTGTGGATTGCCTTACTTTCAGTATGCAGATTTGAATCGCCACATAGATGCATTGAACGCATGGAGGAATGCTACAGTTCTGAAACCAGAGCATAGTTTGGCTTGGAACAACATGATTATATTGCTTGATAATACAGGTACAGTATATTAATGGTTTTGATGGTTACTTACATAACAGCTCTTATAAACCTTGAAGCTAGCAAGAATACCAACCTGGCTCAGAGACTTTTAGGGATGTTTATGAAAAAAAAATGGAGGATGCCTGGACATCTCTCTCCCCTGCTCCCCTCACCCCAAAGAAACCAGGACCTCTCTCTCCTCACTCCCTAGAAAAACAGGGATCTCTTTCCCGCCCCTTCCTGTCTGTGGCCAAGGTGGGGGCCTGCCCCCCACCACTGTGTCCCCGACTTCTACCCCCAAACAGGGAGAAAAGGAGAATTGGCACTAGGAAAGCTGCCCTCCTAGGTCACCTAGGGCCCATAATTACCTTGGTCAATTCCAGGTGTGGACCTCCTTCCCAAGAGGATGATACCCTTTCTTTTCTCCCTCCTCTGTCACATTCCCTCTCCTGCTCCTCCTCTTCCTCTCCCACAGCCTGTGCAGTGAGGGTCTGATAGGAAGCAAATCACTGCAAGTGTCAGTGGAATTTGGGGTCCTGGATTCACCACCCAAGCCACAGGCTGCGTGTTGCGCTCTAACTGCTCTGTATGCTAGTGTGCTCTAGGTAGCTAGTGCGCATTAACATAGTCTGGCAGGCTCCACGTGGGGCAGTTAGAGTGCAACACACAGGCTGTGGCTTGCGTGGTGAATCCAGTCAGGCAATAAAAATTCCCGCAACCAGTTCTTGACTTTTACTAAAAATAGCCTGGTTGGGGAGGAGGCACAACAGCGCTGCCGGGGCTTGCAGCTGTTCCAGCCCCATTGCTAGTCCTGTGGCAGGGGCTGACTACCACTGCTCCTGCCCCGGGGGAAGAGGGCTGACCCAACCCAACCCCATCCCACCCCAGCTGCTGCTCTGGTGGCCAGGGACTGCTGTTCCGGCGGCCCTGGGAATGGCAGCTGCTCCAGTCCTGCCCCAGAAGAAGTCCCGGAGGTCCCAGAAAGTCACGGAATCCGTGGCCTCTGTGACAGAATCATCGCCTTATTTATAATACAGTATACATATGCTCACAGTGTGGAAGTAGCTAAAATATTAGCTATGTTAAAAGTTATCTTTTCTTTCCCTTCTCTCCTTCGTCACGCTATGGGCTCCCAGGGAATTTAGCACAAGCCGAAGCAGTTGGAAGAGAGGCCCTGGAACTGATACCTAATGATCATTCTCTTATGTTTTCTTTGGCAAACGTACTGGGAAAATCACAGAAATATAAGGTATGTAAAGGGGGAAGTGATCTGAATGTTTGCATTTAAAAGTGAAATCTGTGGGAGGAAGGCACTGGACTGTGACTCAGCAGTTCAGGGTTCAGTGACACACTGCCACAGAACTCCTGTGAGACATTGGGCAAGATACTTAATCTCTCTGTGCCTCAGTTTCCCAAATGTAAAATAAAGATAATTCCTTAACACCCATTGTGTCATGAGAATAAATCTGTAAATACTTGGGGGCATCCAATCACTGTGGTGTGTACTTTGAAAGAGAGCCAGATAATGAATTTAAGTCTGTAGATAGGACAGGACCGAAAGAACCAACCAGTCCTTGTACTTGGACATAAGGAAAACTTCTGCAAATAAGGGGGTAAACACAATTCATCTGGTAAGTGTTAGACATTTGTTTCTGAAAAGTAATTGACTGCCGCATGTAATGAGAATCAGTCTCTTGATTACATATTCTCATCAGTATTTGCCACGATTCCTACAGCATGAAGGAGAAATAAAACGCACATTAACAGGAGACTACATAATGGAAGGGCAGCAAGGAAAAAATGCAATTAACTTTTCCATTTGGTCTCATTTTCTGTAATGGGTAGTTTAGGAGCAAGCTATCAAAGTCAACTCATGCATCTGTGGAGTGTTTTGTAAATGGATCAGCAGTGGCACACAGCTCTACATATGTGTCACAAAGGGTTTGAGTTATGTTTGCTTGTTAATGAGCCAAAAGTTAGTCTTATTTTGTGGAATCACTTACCAAGAATAAGCCACCTACTGTGAATAACTGTAGTTGTCCTCACTGCCTCTGTATTCATCCTCATCATCTGCAATATAAGTGACAGGAAGAGATGTATAATCTGGAAGCTTTTTGAATTCCTCATATAAAAAATGTTTGCTCCACTAAGATCCTTTGATTTGTAGCAATAATATAGCACTGAAGTAACATCCTGAATATATCTTGAATGAGAAGCATTTATGACCTCTAGACCTTTCAGGATAGAAATATATATATATTTTTTTTCACCGATTACAGTGTCAGGTGATATTTATCTCCATTTTCTTGCCCTTTTCCAGGATGATGAAACCGAGCCATGTATCTAAGCTATCAAGTTTGCTGTAGTTGTCACAGGAGAAATGCACTTTCAGAGAGGACTTAAAAGAAAAGAGGGGAGTTGCTTTGATGACCAGCTCAGGAAAGTCATTCTGTTTGGAGTGGGGTAGTATGGAAGAAATTACAGAGATGGTTGTGGGAGAAAATGGGGCTCTGAGATTAGCATTGTTAGTGGAGGGGAGGGAACCAGAAAGTGGTAGTGGGAGAGAATGTGATGAGAAGCTCAGTATGATCAGTGGGGAAGTGTGGAGTTATGTAGGGCCTTAAAAGGCACTAACAGGCAACTTGAACTTGATGTGGTGTAGCAGGGGATAGCAAATGGAGAGATTCAAAGAAGGGACTGATGAGGTTTGTTCAATAGGGAAGGAAAATGATCTTAGCAGCTACGTTCTGTATGGACTGGAGGGGAGGAATGTAGGCATCAGGAAGGCTAGGGATCAGTAGGTTACATGGGAGATGATGAGAGCCTCGACAAGAGTTCTAGCTGTAAGGACAGAGAAAAAGGGATGAATCTCCGAGATCTCTTCTAGGGAAAAGATTCAAGATTAGAATGTGTCAAGTGCCTAGACATGTTGAGTGAAATTTGTGTTGGGGAGAAAGATTAAATGATGATATGGCTTCCAGCACTTAATGGATAGATATTCTCATAAATAATGTGTCTGCATAAGGATTGCTAAGGTGTCAGTTCTGCCCTTGAAGCACACTAAGCTTGTTTTTTCAATCCATATTCCTTTTGAAGCAGTCTATTGATTTGGAAATGTCTTGCCAGCTTGAAAGCTAGGTTTTCTTTCAATATGACTGCAGCAATGTTCCCTGTAGTTTCAAATTCACTATGCATTTTTCCAGAACGGATGACTTACAGAAATGTAACTCCTAAGCATACAAAAGATGGAACTTCTTAATTGAGACCTGGTTTTAGCAAATTAGTTTCCCTTCCTTTTTGAAATGAACAAAGCAACTACAGATCTCGGAAGCTCTCTAATGCTTTGAAACTGTGTGTATATTATATGTTTATCCACAGTGTTTTTGTTCTAGAAATACAAGATGTTAGCCCTATTGGCTAATTCAGTGGGTCTCCATATTTGAGGTAAAAACAAACTCGTTTTGTGCTGCAACTCTGGCAGCAGATGGAATATGCAACATGCTTTTTTCAAAGCCTTTGCTACACACAGTGCTGCAAGTATCCTGACAACATTAAATTTAAAGATTTGGCTGTCCAGACCAACTGAAATATTGCCCAGTGTACTGAAATGTTTATTTAATGCAATGGGATATTCTTCAAACTGCCTTTAATCATCTGATGCTCGTCGACTAACTGCTGAGCAAAGCAATGGCAATAAAATCTTTTCAATAAGTATGTGCCAGAAGGCATATGGTAATGGGAGTCAGCTGCAAACGTGTTTTATTAAGTTTTCTGGAGAACACCATGCACAATAACTGTACTCTATAATACTTGGATAGAGGAGGAGTGAGTTCCTGTGTTTGTTGCTCCTACTGTGTGGCTGATGACAATTTATTGAAAGACTGGGTTAACTGGGCAGCAGCTTATCTGTGCACTCTGATGGCTGTATCTTCACAATGGAAAAAGTAGAAGTCTACTTTTTAACTAAAATCTTAGAATTTCCAGCATATTGGATAATGCAGCAAAGATTGCAGCAAGATTCCAACATTGTGGGAAGTGTGACTTTATTAATCTTTAACTTTTTTCCTGCTTCTGCTGTTAGGGCAAGTTTGTTTGGAGGATTTTGCTGTGTGTGTATGTGTAATGAACTTGGAGACAGATGGAGATGCCAATCCTGCCACCAAAGGCCTGTTTTCCCCACTTGAGAGAATTCAGATGCATGGTTCAGTAGCTTGTTCCCATGTAAGGATAGAGTAGGCCTTCATGGCTGTGGTTTATAAAACTTTTCTCACAGGACAGCCTGTATTTGGTTTTTGGGCCTAAGATGTCAAGGCCTCATACACCAGACAATCATCTAGGAAGTAGTGGCCTTTCCTGAGGTGCACTGGACTTTAACTGTGCATTAGGGTATGCCTACACAACAGCTGGAAAGTACAATTCCCAGCGTGGGTAGACTTAGACATACGTGCTAGCTCTGCTCAAGCTAGCACCAAAAAATAGCAATGTGGCTGAGATAGCCCAGGCGGTGCCTTGGGCGAGCTGCCAAATACATACCCAGGGGGTTGGGCGGGATTATACTCTTGCAGCTTTCCCAAACTAGTGCCCATGCTGCGGCAGCTACGCTGCTATGTTGAATGCTCCAACTTGAGCGGAGCTAGCATGTCTGTCTGTCCGCACTTACCTACACCCGCAGACTCAAGGAACACAAAACGTACCACTTACAGCTGGCCTTTTCTCTCTACGTCTTTTGCCTGGGAACTGAGCTAGAGACTGTCCAAGAATCTAAAATGTACAGCAGCACAGAAACTACCTAAAATTACCCTTCTAAAATACCTGAACTTAACTTTTTTTTTTTAACCATGATGATTTTTAACAAGGATTCTCTGGACACAGAACAAAGATCTCTACACTGGCAGCTAGCATGGGGAAGACAAAACTTGAAGTGGTTAAGAAACTGACCAGATTCTTATAATCTTGGCTCTGAACATTTGGTGCCATGAGAGGCCTTTGCTTTTCTAAAAGGTTCCCAGATGTCATCAGTGCTGCGGGCACATCCCACAAGTGGGAATATTCAGAGGACACTTGCAGATGTAGTGATTTTTTTTTCAGTGATTTGTAGTTTTTATATTTTAAAGTAGAGGTACTGTTCCTCAATGTGGATTATATTCAGACCTCAGCTTCAGATGTGTTTACTGTAACTGTGTGTTAATAAAATTAAGAAGTGGTTAATTTTTAGAACAGTGGGAAGAATGACAGGTTTCAGAGTAACAGCCATGTTAGTCTGTAACTTAAAGGCAAAAGCTTTTGCTGAAAACTTAAAAACAGTACAAAATAGAACATTATCTTGGGCCAATAACAAGCAGGGAAAACTTCTACCTAAAAGGTGAATATTTTGAAACATTAGGAATATTGGGAAATTTGATTAAAACGTACACTGCTTTGCAAACTTAACCATAGTGGGTACTGCTAGTTGCCTGCTATAATAGTAGAAGCCTGTGATATGTTGGTGCTTGTGTAGTTTATATTTAGTGGAGGCTGCAGCCACCAAAGAGCAACAAGTTCAGACAGTGTTCTATATAACATTGTGGGGAGGTAATGTATTGTATAGAAGAAAAAATATGGCTACAACTCTAATACAATTTGTGAAGTCTTTGTGGTGCTTGGGTGCACTTGCATTTTGTGTACTACATGAGTAACCTATACTGTTGACATCTTCTTCCAAATTATTCAGGAATCTGAAGCTTTGTTCCTCAAGGCAATTAAAGCCAATCCAAATGCAGCCAGTTATCATGGTAATTTGGGTAAGAACCTTTCTAACTCCTCAAGAGCAAACTTTTATCAAATGTGCTGTTTGTTCCCTTATGTTTACTGTGTATAAAAAGAAGTTTTGAGACTGTTCCTGCTGGGTGGATTTCTGTTCTGATTAATTTCTAGAAAGCCATCAAGGAAATGGGGCATCAAAAACTAAAAGCTGTCACATGGTATGATAGATCAGATAGGTTGAACGTAGTAGTCCAGAGATGGCAGAACTTCAGTGGCTGCAAATTGATTCATTTGAACTATGCTTGTAAATCTTTATGAGCTCATATAAATACAGTAATTTATGGCTACAACATATTTCATTCCTCCATCATTCCATGGCTGGTTCTTTCCCCAAGCTCTGCTCCTGCAGCTGGCAGAAGAACAAACTACTACTGTGCCACTAACCAGCAAAAAAAACCACTTTATTGGAAACAAATGCTTTAATGTTGTTTTCCAAGCGATTGGCAATTTGCACATTATTCAACAATACTGCTAATGAAAACTACTCATTGCTGTTTCAGCTGTGCTTTACCATCGCTGGGGAAATCTTGACTTAGCCAAGAAACACTATGAAGTCTCTCTGAAGCTTGACCCTGCTGCACCCGGGACCAAGGAAAACTACAGCCTCTTAAAAAGAAAACTGGAACAATTGCAAAAGAAAGGCAATGTCTGATGTTTCTTTTTAGGCTGTCAGCGCATGCTGTATACCTTTAATGTTACAGGGCTACTTTTAACCATTTAAGGGATTCAGTCACAGAGTTTTAAAAATAATAGTTACAGCACCACTAATGCACACTCAAATGCTTGATTTGGTCTTACATTGGAAATGTATCTTTTTTTTTTTCAGTTGACTCAACTGTAGATTCTAAAATTTCAGCTCAAGAATGTTCTTTTCTGTTTTTGTTTTTTGAAATCTTTAACTGTTTTTAAAGCCCATTAAATACCCATGTCAGTGTATGTGAAATTTAATGTAGTGTGGAGTTTCACAACACTATTTCACAACACTATAAGTAAATAGAAAGTTTATTTTCATATGCAGTTGACTCATTCATCTGACTTTTAGTATCAGTGTAGAATACTAAAATGGAGAAAGTGACTCTGAAGAAATGGCACTGTCCTACTTGAAAATGGGATCCCTTACACGTATGCAGAGTCATAGATATTCACTTCAGAGAGTGAAGTGGATTCCAGTCTATATAGCACATCAACAGAATGGTTAATCATTACAATTGTAGGTCCAAATTCTGACTAAGTTTGTGCCTGTGCAAACCCGTTGACAGCAATGGGGTTGGCAAAGGTGTAAATGAGGCCACAATTTGACAAGCATAGGGTTATCAGCCCTATGTGATGGTGCACTCGGTCAAGGTGGAAGGACCCCAGGGACAGAAAGTCTTCCCAGAACAATGTAGTGGTACAAGTGGGCAGCACTGGCTAAGGAGTGAGTGTGGCCGTGGTACAGGAGGTGCACTGATGCAGCCTTTTCCCAGTCAGCCTCTGCTGGCAGGACTCCCCTAGCAGCCATTAAAATTGTCTTAACTCTTGTGGCAGGATGGTGGGGCAAACACAGTCAACCCTATGCCCCGGGTTAATTCTTATCTTCTTGGGCATAGCAACTCCCACTGGTTCAGGAAGTTGCAACTTGGAGTTCCTGCATCAGGGATGAACCAAGCACAAAGCCACAAAGAAAATGACGTGCAGAATCCCTTCTACTGGCACATGAACCATAAGAAATCCAGATTCGCTTTCAGATCTCAGGGTGATTTCGCTGAAGTGGCAATTAGGGGAAAAAAGCATCTTTTAATTTATAAACACAGAAATATTATATGGAAATGACTGAGACATTTGTACAGCACCACTTTTGGAGTATGCTGCACTTTAAACTAGGGTTTTGAGTTAACTCATACGATTAACTCAAAAAAATTGCGATTAATGGTGGTGTTCTGTTAAACAATAGAATACCAATTGAAATGTATTAAATATTTTTGGATATTTTTGTACATTTCCAAATATGTTGATTTCTATTATAACACAGAATACAAAGTGTACAGTGCTCACTTAATAGTATGATTTTTATTACAAATATTTGCACTGTAAAACGATAAACAAAAGAAATGGTATTTTTCAAATCACCTCATACAAGTACTGTACTGCAATCTTTGTCATGAAAGTGCAACTTACAAATGTAGATTTGTGTTACATAACTGCACTCAAAAACAAAACAATCTAAAACTTTAGAGCCTACAAGTCCACTCAGTCCTACTTCTTGAGCCAATTGCTAAGACAAACAAGTTTGTTTACATTTACGGGAGATACTGCTGCCTGCTTCTTATTTACAATGTCACCTGAAAGTGAGAACAGGCCTTCGCATGGGACTTCTGTAACCAGCATTGCAAGGTATTTATGTGCCAGATATGCTAAACATTCATATGCCCCTTCATGCTTTGGCCACCATTCCAGAGGACGTGCTTCGATGCTGCTGATGCTCATTTTAAAAAAAAAAGCTTTTAATTAAATTTGTGACTGAACTCCTTGGGGGAGAATTGTATGTCTCCTGTTCTGTTCTGTCTGCATTCTGCCATATATTTCATGTTATAGCAGTCTCAGATGACCCAACACATGTTTGTTTTAAGAACACTTTCACAGCAGATTTGACAAAATGCAAAGAAAGTACCAATGTGAGATTTCCAAAAATAGCTACAGCACTGGACCCAAGGTTTAAGAATCTGAAGTGCCATCCAAAATCTGAGAGGGACGATGTTTGGAACATGTTTTCAGAAGTCTTAAAAAAGCAACACTCCGATGCGGAAACTACAGAACCCAAACCATCAAAAAAGAAAATTAACCTTCTCTTGGTGGCATCTGACTCAGATGATGAAAACGAAGATGCGTCGGTCCGCTCTACTTTGGACCGTTATCAAGCAGAACCCGTCATCAGCATGGATGCATGTCCCCTGGAATGGTGGTTGAAGCATAAAGGGACATACGAATCTTTAGTGCATCTGGCATGTAAATATCTTGTGATGCTGGCTACAACAGTGCCACACAAACGCCTGTTCTCACTTTCAGGTGACGTAAAAAAGAAGCGGGCAGCATTTTCTCCTGCAAATTGTAACCAAACTTGTTTGTTTGAGCGATTGGCTGAAGTAGGACTGAATGGACTTGTAGACTCTAAAATTTTACATGGTTTTATTTTTAAATGCAGTTATTTTTGTACATAATACTACATATGTAAGTTCAACTTTCATAATAAAGAGATTACTTGTATTAGGTGAATTGAAAAATACTATTTTGTTTTTTACAGTGCAAATACTTGTAATCAAAAATAACTATAAAGTGAGCACTGTACTCTTTGTATTCTGTTGTAATTCAAATATATTCTATTCAATTCAATGTGTTTGAAAATGTAGAAAACATCCAAAAATATTTAAATAATAGTAAAATACCATTTACCATGTGATTGTGGTTAATTTTTTAATTGCTTGACAGCCCCACTTTAAACTTTTAATTAGCAGCACAGAGGAGGGAGTCAAATGCTGTTCGTGTGCTGGTATTTACATAGCTCAACATAATGTTGCTGCTTCTGTAAATATTTATCTTTTTAAAAAGAAAGTGGAAAAACAATCTATTGGATGTGAGAATTGAGAGATTTGACCTCCTCTCTCTCCATGTTCCTGCATTCTGTATTTTTTTTTCCATAGGAAGAAATTGATTCATGCAATATTTGCAACTTTCCTAACTTGTGTGGTAATATTGTACAGGCAGTTCTGATATATTCTTAATATACCACTCACCTAAATATGAAACTGTTTAAAATGTAAGGCAAATGTCTGCCATAGTACAGAATATTGCATGATCTTGCCCTTCTGAATACCACGTAAATGTTTTACATCTACTGTACTCTACTTTTTAAATGTTTTGCTTGGAAAAGAGTGCCACATTTGGAACTAAAATACAAGTGGCAAGTTTTTATAGATTTTTATATTCTGTCCTACAGCTCAGCCTAATATGCATCAAATGTAGAAGGCATTGTGTTAAATAGGCTTCTAGACCAAAAAAAAGGATTTTGCTATGGAAACTAGTTTCTAGCAGACAAAAGAAATGACTTCACAAAAACAAGCCATATTGGTTTATTCACAATGTCTGTTGTAATTGAGTTCTAAATTATTATTCTTGTCATGTAGTTCACATGTATGATCATCCTTATTGGCATGTACTGTTTGTTTTGGATTAATCCAGTAGATCAATATTATACTTAGGGCACGAAAACTCTGCATTTCATTATGCAGTAAACCCATTACACGCACTTGTCTGGGGATGCTGATTTGTCCTCCTACTCTGAGTTTCTGATGGATTGGGCCTCCTATTTTGTACTCTTAGTATTTTAAAATGTTTATTTACTCTTCTAGTAGCAACCCCATGATCTCTTCTTGATTTATATTCAGGCTATTTAATATCACTTAACTTTTTATTGGTCTTCATTGTTTTAATTTATAATTATTTAGTGCAATAAAAATGAAAGGTAATCACTTATATCAATTTAATAGAAATGGTACACTTTTAGCAGAGTATGTCGGAGCTCAACTGGCTTCTGAAGAACTAATGTACAAGATTCTGTTTATATAAAATACCCCCTAAATCTTTCAAGAACACTAAATATCTTCCACTTTATGCTCTCAAACAACTTAGTAATGCAACTCATTCAATGTATTAGGCCTATTAAAGTATTTATGAATTTACCTTTTTAAAATGTTTAATTTTCCACACCTGGTAACTAACTCCTGAGTCAGTGTAGAAAATATTGCCTGCAAGAGAAAAAGATGTAAAGAGAGGGGTTTCACAGGAAGGAGATTTTATAAGCTTAGACCCATTTGTTTTTTAATAATTTTTCTTTCCACTATTGCTAATTGATAATATCAATATAGAATATTACTATTGCTAATTTCTCCTTGCCCAGCTGATCAATCCTTTCCTATTTGATTATGCAGTGAAGTCATAAATCTATATTTGTTACATTGTATTAATTTCCATAGCAATAGATTGTGAGGTCACAAGTGCTTGGTCACTTCACTGTTCACTCATTTAAACAAAATTACGAAAAAAGAGCAAAGGTAGGCAGCATGCTCCAATGGATAAAGCACAAGATTAGACATAGGGTCTGTACGCTACTGCTACTGTTAATCACTGTAATTTTGATTTACTCACATGTGGAAACATTTCAAAAGCATCCACTAACTTTGAGAGCCTCTATTTTTTGAGTGTTCAACTTCTCATTTACGGCCTGACTGTCGGGATGTGCTGAGCACTTGCTGTTCCTGTTGATTTTAACTGCAATTGTATTTAGTATATCTGAAGATCAAGCCCTAGGTGTCTGTTTGGACATTGTGAAATTGAAGCACTCAACTTTTGAAAATGTTGGCTTTACTGTCTCCCAGCTATACTGTATGCATCTGTAAAATTGGAACCAACTACATTTGTTCGGCACCTCTGTAAAAAATAGTTGTGATCTAAGGATGAAAACCTCCTTATTTAATATAAAAAATGACGAGCCAAATTAATTGGTTTGTGTACATATTCTCCCCATGCTACAACATCAGGCTCTTAAGATACATATAGTTCATACAATTCATTATAACAATGAAAGAATCTCAGAAGAATTTGAATCATATCAAAGCATCCCACACAGCCAACTATACCTGTGATACGAAGTCATTTTCCATCTTCATGTGCAGTTGTTCTTTCCTTCCAAGGAAATCCCCTACTGGTTAAAGTTTCTTCAGACTTAACTCCTCTTCCTGTCCTCTTCAACTAGTCTCCTGAGCCTGAGGTCTGGATTCCTGAAACTCCTGGTGTTTCATCTTTATGGGTACACATCCTTATTGTGTGTGTCCCTTGCATCAAGAATCCTACAAGTATTGTTGAGCTCAGGCTGAATGTGATATGAGCAACAGGTACACCTGGGGAGGTCAGATGGCAACAGTAACTGGATGAGGGAATGAGATTGTAAAAGACAAGTGAAGGAAGAAAGAAATCAAAGTTTGGGGTTGTGTCTTGTGTGGAGGTTTGTTACGGGGGGGATGGGGTTACTGTTCATACAAAGGTTTGGCTACCCAAAAGAATCGCAAGTTCAGACTAGGGGAGTTTATTTTCTGAACTAGTATTACCTATTGCTAAGTTATATATGATCATGTTGTATTTTAGTAAAGTTGTCATTTATTTCATTGTGTCCAGTTTTACACTAGTTTAAAAGTAATCAAGCAGATAACTGTAAATCTGTAAAGCTCTTGATGGGTTTTTTTTTAGTTTAAAACCCTGTCCTTTGGAATTCCAAGCTCTAAACTGTAGCATATTGCTAAAAGAATAAAATGTTTGAATTAAAAACATCTAAATATTTTATTTAGATGTTGATTCCTTTGTGCATACCAGGTTTCCAACAAGCATAGCTACGTCTGCTGATTCAAACATGATCCTCATTTTCAGTGAGTGAGCAGTACTTGTATTTTCAAAGTCCTTTAGATGAATCTCTTAAATGTGCCCTCTACTAACAAATCTTTTGTAATATGAAAGACCATAATCCACTAGGAATGAAAGTGAGAATACAAATGAAATTTGCTATAGCATAAAGGTTAAGTACTGTACACCTGCTACTTTTAAAGACACAAATACCTGTAGCTGCATGACTCATGTACTGGAGGATTGATTGTACTGTTAGCAAAATGCATTGCCGTGTTGTGGCATAGGTGTTTGGTATGTCAGTGTATGGTATATTAGAAATGATTCATGGCTTATTAAATTATGGGGTTTTGTAGAAATCTGGTCACAAGAAATTTGAAATCCGTGGCTTTGAATTTGATGCTGATATCTGAACTCTTCTTTTTGATGTACTGTTAATGATCTGAGTTGCAAATAGTTATTCCAATTTACAAAGTTTCAACCAAGAAAGACACAAACATTTGTAATAAAGCCCAGTAATAAATCTGCATTTTTGCTATCATGCTACTGAGATTTTATTTTTGCTTGTAATTAAATAAGTGGTGTGTTTATCTGAAGCAGGACGCAAAATGTGCTAGGCACTATAGAAAAATATGACATCAGAAGACATGGTCCCTGACCTGGTGTGCTTACAATCAAAGGCCCTGATCCTGCAAACATTTACACTGGATTAATTTTTATGATTGTGAGTAGTCTCACTAAGATTAAATGGGGCCTAAAAAAAAAAAAAAAAAACAGAGCAATCAGCCTGGGTGGAGGGGAAAGTGCAGCAAACGTTAGTTCCAACTTTAAAAATAATCATATAACACTATCCACATGTACTCTTCCCAGCCATTGTTAATTCATTGTGGTTAAAATTCACAAGGGGGATTTAGGTACCACTAACATTCACAAGCCTAAGTTCAGCTGCTGCTTAAACTTATAGGCACCTAAATTTCTACCATTAAAGTCCCTGAGGTGTCTACATTTTGGTCGGTAGGCATGCATGCAACCACCTAAATCTTCACACCACTCAGCAGCTTGGCATGTAATTCATGCCTAAAGTCCAGCTGGATTCTGCAACTAGGTGTCCCCTATCTTGTCTTAGGGACCAGATCACATAGGCATGCTCAGTTATATCTAAACCCTTACAAAAGCAGCTGCTGCTGCCGGTGGGTACCTGCATTTGAAATATTGATCTTTTAGGCTGCTGCCCCATGGGCATTTCTGCAGAAATACTAGTGGGGTGTTAGGCTACTGCTGAAACACGGGAGGTATATGGTTGCTAGAAAAAGGTAGGCAAGGTCAAAAAGATTACTTCACAGCACTGTTGGCAGGGGAGGCTGGGCCTATGCTGCCTGCCTGGGATGGGAAGAAGAGGAGTGGCACAGCTGTTTTCTCCCTTGCTGCTACTTGAACTACCTCAGGTACTGCTCCTGGGGAACTGAGCCCATCAAAATAAACTTTGACTTGATCAAAATTTCCCTCTAACCGTACAGCTCCTGAGCGTGGGGCTGTCACATCACCAAAGCCCCTGCCCTTGGAGGGCTGTGCGCGCTTCCTCTCCTCTGCAGTTTTTGGCAGCTACTTCCCAAACAGACCAGCTCGCCTAGGAGCTAAAAGGTCGGCGAGGTGGCTTCAGATGCCTGTGGGCTGGACGGGAGGGGGAGCTCTCCGGGGCCACAGCTGCAGAGAAGGGCTTCAGGCTGGCCTGTTTCTGCTCCTGTCTCACTTTGGGAACCTATAGGAGGTCAGTGGGCCGCTGCAGGTGTACGAAGGAACCTTCCCCTTTACTCCGCCTAGGAGCTCGTTTCGCTCTTCGCACGTGGGGCAGCGCTAGGTGGAGACGCTGCTTAAGCCAGGAGGAGCCAGCCAGGCTCAGGGCCCCTTCCCCCGGCAGCGGGCGGCTGCGTGGGGGTCCAAGGGGCGCAAAGCAGCAGATGCAGCATCACACGCGCTCTGGTCCCCGGCCGCGCCGCTGAGATGCTCCGCCGTTGGGGGGCGGGGCGGCTGCAGGGCAGCGCCACGTGCAGCCAGACGCGAGGGGCGCTCGGAGGCCGCGCGCAACCCGCGCGCTCTCACCCCTGGGCTCACAGGCTGCCCGCGGGGGCGGAGACTCGACGCGTTAGCATCAGCAAAGCCCTGCGCGCGGGGCCCTCAGCCACGGGCAAGGTCGCGCTGAGCCTCACTCCTCCCCCCCCCCCCATGGCGTCACGTGGCCCTGGCCCAGCTCGCAGCTCCACGCGCACTCTCTGGAAGGGAGGAAGTAGGGGGCGTTTCCACGGCAACGCCCTCTCTCCTGGCTCCGCCCCCTACCTGTGCCGCCGCCTGGCTCCTCCCTCCGCTGCCTTAGGGGTGGGGCCAGAGCTCGCCCAGACCCCGCCCTTGAGAGTTGAGCTAAGCCGGACCCAGAAGCGGCCCAGGGAATTGGGCACCAGCCGGGCGGAGGGACGCTCCGCCCAGGGGAGAAGCTTCGCGGGCAGCCAGGCCGGCGGGTGAGTGCTAGCGGGGGCGCGCGGGGGCCGTTGGCACCGTTAAAAAGCGGGACTCCCCAAGTTAACCTCCCCCGCGAGGGGAGCCGCCGGGACGGACACGATTGGCTCAAAGACGTCATGTGCCAGGGCTCACAGGGTCACGTGCCGCTCTGCCACCTGCGCCGCGCCTGTAAAACGCTCTGGCCCCCGCCGGGGCCTGCGTGTCCCAGGGGCTGGGCGGCTCCCTGCTCGTGTCTCGTCCCGGGGGGGGGGGTGTTGTGATGGTTCAGCACGTTCCTTCCTTCCTGTCTGTCTGTTTTGTTTTTTGCCATCAGTCTCTTCCTGCAGACTCTGCCTTCCCATTGCTTTGTGGGGCCCCCGGGGAAGGTGTCCGGCTCAGATTCCCATGCGGTGCTGAATTGTTTGAATTCTGCTGCAGTGCCCTGGTGCCCATTGTCTGAGTATAGCACATCAGACATGACATATCTTTAAAAATGTGCCTTTAGTTTCCTGATCGCTGCTGTCGCCTGAGTGTCCTCCAGATAGTCCCAGAAATGCAAGTAGTAAGCTACTGTAACCATGCACTTCCTGTCATTAAAAGTGGATAGGTCTGTTCTGACCTTTCTCCAGGCCATTAGATGCTCAGCCTGGCTCATCAGGTGCCTCTTTATCCTGGAGTATATATCTGTTAATATTAGCATTTAAATCTGTTTGGTTTCCTTTAAACAAAATTCTGGCTTGCATTCACAGCTCATCCCTCATCTGGTAATGGGAGGTAACCTCCTGTGGCACTTGCTTCTTGCAATCTGCAGTATGAACCCTTTTAATGCCTGTAAACCCTGTCCTGTTTGGTGCTTTGTTGAGTTGCCTGGAACTTCCTGTCAGAGATGCAAAAGTATGTTCACAGACTCTAATTCCTGTTCTGCAGAGCCATTTGTGTTGTACTCTGGAAGGTATGCCCTGCTCAGTGTATCTGGCACCAGTGGTAACTTTTCTGGGCAGTGTTGTATTCTCTTCTCATAGAGCTGGAGTTTCAGCAACATGTGGTCTAGTCATATGGATGCACTCACCAGTGGCTTCTTCACAATGAATCCTAATGGTTTAGGACTAGACTGCATGCCCACCTAGATCCCAGAGGTCAACTGATGGAATTGTTAAGCCAGCAGCTCCTCTCCTATATGAAAAGGAGGACTTGTGGTACCTTAGAGACTAACAGATTTCTTTGAGCAGAAGCATCCGATGAAGTGAGCGGTAGCTCACGAAAGCTTATGCTCAAATAAATTTGTTAGTCTCTAAGGTGCCACAAGTCCTCCTTTTTGCAAATACAGACTAACACGGCTGCTACTCTGCAATCTTCTATATGAGTATATTTCCTTTCTGCGTCTATCAGGGTTGCACTAGCAAATGCTATGGGCTGCTGGCTTTGCAGCACTATCGTGCTGCTCCTCTTTCTCCTTGTGAGCTATCACACTGTAGCTCTAGCTGCTCCTCAAGGCTGTAGCGTTTTAGAACTGGTGCTTCATTTACGATTTTCTTTACATTTTTCAAACACATGTTTTGGGGTCTCTGACCATTCCCATGCTGAATCATTGTGTTTTAATTATCTGAAGAGTTAACAGGCTTCTGATAGGTGTGCACTGAACCTGGAGATAGGTGGCTATCCCTGTAAATTGTTGGACTCCCTTCATATCCTTCGATCTGAGCATTTCCTTCATGGTTCTCAGTTTTTCAACAGATAGCTAATATAATGCCAACTTTTTTTTTTTTTAAGGCTCCAGAGTTGGTTTTCGGCTTACTGGCATGTAATTGCTAACTTCAGATTCAGGCAGGTTAGTTGACACTAGTAAAGAACAGATTTATCAGACACACAGGGCCGGTGCAACCACTAAGTGAACTAGGCGCTCGCCCAAGGCGCCAAGTGGTTGGGAGAACCAAAAAGCGTCGGCTTGCAGGGGCGGCGAGCCGCAGCCATGGAGGAGCCGGTGCGGTGCAGGGGGGCAGCAGCCCTGCAAAGGCGGCAGTGCCGCTAGTGGGGAGCAACCGCGCCCCCCCGCCCCTCCTGCCCAGGCTGTGGCCCGGCATGGTGCCCCCTCCCCTTGGGGGGGCTGCTGCAGGAGATGCATGCGGGCGCCAGCCCCCGTGTGCCCCCCGGCTCCCTCCTCACCACACTCTGGTTCTGCGGCTCCCAGGAGTGTGAGCTGCTGCTGCCCCTCCCGCTGGGCCAGTCAGGGAGCAGGGGGGGTTGGATGGGTCAGGAGTTCTGGGAGGGAGGTTGTCAGGGGGCAGGGAGTGGTTGGATGGGGCGTGGGAGTCCCAGGGGTCTGTCTGGGGGCGGGGGTGTGGATAAGGGTGGGGGCAGTCAGGGGACAACTAGGGGGTAGGATCCTAGGGGAGCAGTTAGGGTGGGGGTTCTCAGGAGGGAGCAGTCAGGGGACAAGGAACTGGGAGGCTTCGTAGGGAGTGGGGTTCTGGGGGGCAGTTAGGGGACAAGGAGCAGGGGGGGTTGGAGCTTCTGAGGGGGGCAGTCAGGGGTTGGGAAGTGGGAGGGAGTGGATCGGGGCGGGGCTCTCCCCGTCCTCTTTTTTGATTGTTAAAATATGGTAGCCCTATCGGGGGGAGGGGGGAGCGTGCATCTGCTCCCCGCTAGCAGTGCTGCTGCCTTTGCAGAGCTGCTGCACCCCTGCGCCGCTCTGGCTCCTCCGTGGCTGGGGCTCGCCATCGCTGGAAGCGGGACTCTCTGGTGCCTCTGGAAGGCGGCTCCTTCCTGCCCAGCTGCTGCAGCAGCCCAAGCCCAGCAAAGCCAGTGAGTGGACTTGGGGCGGGGGGCCACCGGGGTGGGGTGGGCTTGGCTCACGGGGGAGCTGTGCACCCTCCAGGGGAGTTCAGGGGGCGGGGAGGGGGGAACCTGGTCTGGGGAGCAGCCCCTGGGCACAGCTGGCCCCTGAGCAGGCTGGCCCCTGGGGTCTATAAAGGCTTGTTGGGATTTGTCGCTCAATGAACCGATGTGCGGGTGGGCGCGCAAGGTGGAAGTTTTGCTTAGGGCGCAAAATATCCTTGCACAGGCCCTGCAGACACGGAGGTGAAAACGATATGTTGGGGAAGAGTCAGCATGGTTTTTCTAAAGGGAAATCATGTCTCACCAGTCAATTAGAATTCTTTGATGATGTAAACAAGCATGTGGACAAGGTTGATACAGTGTATGTGGACTTTCAGAAAGCCTTTGACAAGGTCCCTTACTAAAGGTTCGTAAGCAAAGTAGTCAGTCATGGTTATAAGAGGGAAGGTCCTCTTATGGATCAGTAATTAGTTAAAAGATACGACACAAAGGGTAGGCATAAATGGTCAGTTTTCACAATGGAGAGAGCTAAATAACAGCGTCCCCCAAAGATCTATATTGGGACTGGTGCTATTCAACATACTCATAAATTATCTGGAAAAAGGGGTATATGGTGAGGTGGTAAAGTTTGCAGATCATACATAGTTACTCCAGATAGTTAAGTCCAAAGCTGACTGCAAAGAGTTAGAAAGGGATCTCACAAAATTGGGTGACTGGGCAAGAAAATTGCAGATAAAATTCAGTGTTGATAAATGCAAAGTAATGCACATTGGAAAACATCCCAACTGTAAGTAAAAAACAATGGGGTCTAAATTAACTGTTACCACTCAAGTAAAAGATCTTGGAGTCATCTTGGATAGTTCTTTAAACTTCTGCTCAATATGCAGTGCAATCAAAAAAGCTAACAATGTTAGGAACCTTTGGGAAAGGGATAGATAATAAGACATGATACCACTATATAAATGCTTGGTACACATACATTGAACACTGTGTGCAGTCCTGGTCACCACATCTCAGAAAAGGTATACTAGAACTAGAAAAAGTACAGAGAAGGGAAATAAAAATAATTAGGGTATGTAACAGCTTCCATATGAGGAAATATGAAAAAGATTGGGACTGTTTACGTTAGAAAAGAGGCGACTAAGGGAGGGTATGATAGAGGTCTATAAAATCATTAATCTTGTGGAGAAAGTGGATGATCAAGTGTTGTTTACACCTTCACATAACACAAGAACCAGGGGTTACCCAATTAAATTAAAATAGTAGTACCTCAGTGTTACGAACACCTTGGGAATGGAGGTTGTTCATAACTGAACAAAACGTTATGGTGGTTCTTTCAAAAGCTTACAACTGAACAGTGGCTTAATACAGCTTTGAAGCTTTACAATGCAGAAGAAAAATGCTGCTTTCCCTTTAATTTTTTTTTTTAGTAGTTTATGTTTAACACAGTACTAGATTTGCTTTTTACTGTCTCTGCTACGGCCTGATTGCACACTTCTGGTTCTAAATGAGGTGTGTGATTGACTGATCAGTTCGTAACTCTGGTGTATGTGACTCTGTAGTTCTACTGTAGGCAGCAGGTTTAAAACAAACATAAAGAAGTACTAGTCCAGACAATGTACTGTCAACCTGTAGAACTCATTGCCAGGGAATGTTGTGAAGGTCAAAAGTATAACTGGATTAAAAAAATAATTAGATAAGTTCATGAGGGTAGGTCTGTTGATGGCTATTAGCCAACGTGCGGTCAGGATGCAAACCCATGCTCTTGGTGCCTCTAAACCTCCAACTGCTAAAAGCTGGGACTGGATGAATCACTCAACCAACTGCCCTGTTCTGTTCGTTCTCTCAGAAGCATCTGACATCAGCCACAGTGAGAAGACAGAATACTGGGCTACATGGCTTATCAGTCTGATGCAGTATGGCCATGCTTATGTTCTTATGGAGCCGATCAGGCAGCCTACTACAGGCCAGCTGTGCTCATTAGATTGCCCAGACACTGATTCTGCTGCAGGCCCTGATTCTTGAGAGTCTGGAATCTCTCAGAAGTCTACAGTGGTTTATTATAGAGAACCTCAGTTCTTTTCAGCTTCAGCTTGCCTTCATTGAGTCTAATATTCTGCTCCCAGCAGTTGTTCAGGTGTTGTTGCAACTTGGTATTATGGTCCTGGATTGCCTCTTCCATGAT